CGCTATCGGTATAGAGATTGTCGACAGTACATACTTGTTTTCACGGGTTCACTTTCTGCTACGAATTTATTTTTGTACCGTATTATATCTTCTTTGGGAACGAATCCCGGGCGGACACGGCGCTCCTTACGAAGACTACCGTCTGCGCGTCGGCTAGCAGGAATAACGCGTTCGTTAGTTTCGGTGGTAACGATTCCAGCTGGAGTTGCCTTTTTTGTAGACGACATATTAAATGTAAAAGAATGAATTGTTTTGAATTTCAATTACGATCCATAAGGAATAAATTTTTATCTACGTAGTAAAAGATAATGCATTTCGATTGGATAGCGTAAACCAAAATTGATTACGCCATTTATCATAAGTAATTGTATTATAAGTAACCTTTTTTGATGGGACAAATGAGTATTGTCCCTTTTTTTCGAGTAAAAAAAATAACCTTTAAAAAATTTAGGAAGTCAGATAAAATTTCTCTAAACTTCTGATAGTAGCTTAAAAGATTAAACCCGAGAAAACAAGTATGTACTGTCGACAATCTCTATACCGATAGCGGACTTAGTGTTCGGTTTGTTAAGATTCGGTTTAGAGTTTACTAAGACAAACTATCGCTATGTAAATGATTATACCCTGCAGTACGTACGTATAAAAGATATACTAACTTTTTAAGTGTTTAAGATTATCGTTATATAGCTTGTTATATTTCATATCTAAAGAATATTTTTTAATTAATAAAAGTTATATTTGGCATTTTGATACTCTCTTACTGTAAAAAACTTTTGCCTGCTTCAGTCCATTGCTCGTTGCTTTATAGAAATTTTTAATATGTATTAAACCTTTATAAGCTTATATTTAATTTTTTTCTTTTAATCTCATAATGTATATATTGCACCGACATTTAAATAATTGCCATTTAAAACAAAAAAATTTTTGATAAAAAAAAAGGCATCGAATTTATGGGTCCTTGCTCCTGTACCTTTGATCTACATGAAGTGATAGTTACGAAAATTCTCCTGCATCACTACGCACAACATATATAATAAAAGTTGTATAACAATACTATTGCAGCTTTGATTAAAGTTGAGAGACGATAGATTTAAATGTTGGTTTCCAATCTTTTTCTTTGAACTATTAAAAAAACGAACATTTTATATAGAACCTTTATCATACAACCCACACGGTAAATTAGTCTTCATCGAGTCAATTTAGATTTGTTCAATGTCTACAAGACTTCAAAGAGTTGCCGATAAAAGTCTTAATGAGAAACATGCAAAGATTCTGGCAAGTTGCTTGAGCAAGCCAGAAAATAAGTACTGTGCAGATTGCAAAAGAAGAGGTTTATATTAGTCACCATTAGAACCATAAATGAATTTAAATGTAATGCTAATGTTGTTTTATTTATAGATCCACGCTGGGCGTCCTGGTCTTTGGGCATTTTTATCTGCATAAGATGCTCAGGCACTCACCGATCTCTGGGAACCCATATTAGTCGTGGTATGCCATTTTATCATGGAAATCTCTGGTTAAAATATATTTGGCAAATTATCTGTTCTTATTATGATTAATATACTTTCAGTCAAGTCCGTCGATTTGGATACATGGACTACAGAACAAGTCGAAGTACTCTATAATTTTATTTATTTATTTATTTTTAAAAAATGTACATATATATTTATTCGTTGAATTCACCAATTTGTTCTTGTAGAATATGACTCGATGGGGCAATGCCAAAGCAAACCTGTAAGTAAATTTATTAACTATCTTACTTTCAATATTTTGTAATGTCACAGAACGTTCAAGGCGATATCACGTTATAATTTTTAATTAAAATTGTGTTTATTTGTTTTTTTATTTTATATTTAGTTATTGGGAGGCAAATCTCTCAAATAAGCAACCTTCGGAAAGGTAACTATGTATCTTTCAAAATTTATAAGATATCGATATTGGAAAGCAAATATAAATTTTAACCTATTTCATTATAGCAACATTGACAGTTGGATTAGATCTAAATATGAACTAAAGCGGTGGGCAATGAAGGGTCCAATACCTGATCCAGATACATTAGGCGATGGATTTTCGAATAAACCAGTAGGAATTTTTCATTTCTTAACTTTAAATAAATATCAAATGTCATCTTTTACACTAAACTTTTAACAGGAATTGCCATCTTCAACCAAAATTGTCAATGAATCTCAAATTTCGGAGAAATCCTCACTACCTTCAAAAACAAATGAAAACAATA